AAAGTGCTCGTTTTTCCCCTTCTTTTTACGCCCACGCATCTAAATATAAAAATGTTGTTAATAAAAGTTCTTTATGGATCAAAATTTTAATCGAAACATTATCACAAATCGATAATCGAATTTACTCGATATCACGTACAAATATTTTAACGTAAAGATGATTGTTTATAAATGCTTTTAGAACTATTTTGATAATTTATCTTTTACAATAACATTTCTTAGATGGAAAGTAAATTCAGCGTACAGTACATTAATGGAAAAGCAGTTATATAAAAGCATGCAATCGTTCTCTTTCACTAATTATCTCGAAATTAATGATGTTACAGGCCAATGGCAAAGCGTAAAATATAATGGGAATATAAAGTAAAAGACCCTTTTTCCTTCGCGCACCTCGTTAATGGCAAGAAAAATATCCATAATGATGTAAGGTGGAGGAGGATAATTGCTACCGAATTGACGACTGTCGAATGCTATTAGTCGAAATCAATCGGAGACATAAAAAAGGTTTGCTGCACGACACTGTCACCCTCCTACTTCTTTTATAGCTTATTACCATCCAGGTCGATCGCCTTCTCTGTTTAGCGTTGTACGTAAATGCTAGAATCTAAAGATCCAGACACACCCCCGACGTGAAGAGTACCAAATTTCTATAAAATCAATGAACCTATTTTATATTCTTTCTCTTTCATTTTTTAAAGTTTTACTCTCAGATTTAATAAATTAAAAACTAAATTATATGAAAACAAAATAAAACCGCTGCTGTATCTCTGTTTATATAGAATTATTGGATGCTGTATTATAATTACTCGAAGGAAAAAATTTAATTTATTACAAAAATTGGAGCTTCTTTTATGCTGTAAGCAGTGACACCATAATTTTGACTGTTCTAGTAGTTTTATGTGTAACAGATAGGCTAAACCTGACTCTAAATAACTCGAGGGCTTTCCTCCCATCCTCTTTTTCCTCTTAGTCTATTGTTTCTTTTGTGCACTTCTTTTTAAAGTAGATATTTTTGCCCGTCTTTCTACATTATTTCTTTATAAATTTACAACCAAACTTTTCAAAGATCCCCAACCTGTCAGCAACAATATTCGAGGAAACTTATTATAATAAATTAAGCACGGAGAGTTTTTTATTTCCAATATTCCTTTACTGAAATTTTAAAGTTCGGTATTCAGCAAAATATTCAGTAAAAAAAACGACGAAGGTAGATTCTTTGGCAAACTACATCGTCATCTCACCCAAGGCATTCTACAGATATGGATCTGATCATCTCGAATGAATTTAAGTAGCTGAGGTTGATGGCTCTTATCGGCATCATAAGCCAGCTAGGAAGACATTATAGTCTGTCTGCAATTTTCATGTCATTTGATTTTATTTTTTAAGCTAAATGATATCATTTGTTGCAGTAGATTTAATCTCGAGTTAGCTACAGTCCATTCGCTTCATATAAAGCGAATGTTATTTAGCAAACTGTAAAAATGAAAAGTTAAAGCTTAATCTGTCATCATTTATTTATTGTTATCACCTTAAATCGTCTTAAAAAATTTACTACCTTTATTTATATTTGTCATGTGAAAAATTCTAGAAATTTATTTTAAATTTAATTTTCTTTAGCTTTCAAATCAGTGTAATTTATTCAAATTTAGTTCATTTAGCAAAATTTCTGTTTGATTATCATCTAAAGAAAATTTTATATTTCATTTTTGAGCAATATTAAACAAGAGAAAATTGCATTCGAATTGAAATTAAGATTCGAATATTAATTAAATATACTAACCAGGTATTTAATATTTTAATACAAAATTAATATAGTTTATTCAAACTCGTCACACAATTCCAGATAATTTTGAACGAAGCATGTTAAACCTAGACCTAAGAACAAAATTTCAACTCAACGAACATTCGCTCCCATTTTTTTATAATGAAACTCACAGGAAATATTTATTTGGATTATGTTTCTGTAATTAAAGCTGTAATAGAAGCAATTAATTAAAGATTATTTTCGCAGACCTTCTAACGAAGGTGATAATGCAAGCCTCGTTTAGAATGCACGAAAAGGTACAACCTATAAAACTTCGGAATTTCCAGTTTATGTCACCGAATAGCAGGTCAATGATTCTAGTTAGTAGCCCTTATTTGTCTTCTCCTTGACCGAATATAAAAGAAATTTCCCTGAAACGATGTTTCTACCACTCCCAAACCATTAATTAAAAATCCAAGGTACTGTACAGTACAACTGAATCGAGATTTAAAAAAAATAAAATAAAAAACATACCTTCAATGGATAGGAACGGATGCAAAGTTAACAATCGAAGGTAATTAGTTCTCAACTTGTAATTTGAAAGAATGAGGGGGATTTGTACACAAGTTAAAAATGTGGAAAAGTTTTTGATGGATTTATTTCTAGTGTTGCAATTTACCTGAATTACAAGCGACCACTAGCGAGGTCTCTCCGGAGTAGAACCTCTAAAAGCGGGCAATCTACATACTCTTTATGGTGGAAGCCGAAGAAGGGGCAGGGGAAAAGCGCTGACCACTGTCCTGCAGTAAATCAATCGGCGACTTTGACAGTACCAAACAACAGACCAGATGGAACTGGGCGGATACGGCCAGGGGGAGTTCGCCCCAACCTCCGGCCCGAAGCAAAGCAGTTAAGGACAGCTTTTGTGTTGGCCAAATAGTTCTCTCCTACAGCAGCAGTTCGTGTCAATTAGGCGGTTTGGCCCTCTGGCTACTCTTCGATAAAAGGTACAACCGGCCATTTTCTTTTGGCCAACTGGATCTAACGTTACAAAGCAAACATCGTTTCCTTCCCGCAGAAATTCGACCTTCCAGCGAAAGGGGAACCCGCAGAGATGCCTTCCAAAAATTCGGGATGGTAGTAGCTGCACCCATTTTCATTATTTCTCCTCTTTGGAAGAAGACTTTTCCACTTATAATTAAAGACGATTTTGATAAACAAATAAAAACAAATTCAGAAAAGCATCACCGAAAAGGGGTTAGATACAGGAAAAAAAGCAATTCAAAATTAAAATTTCCAAGTTCTATAAGAAATTTACCTTTTCTTTTTTTACATTTAAGAGCCTTTTTCCTTGTAAATAATCTCAAGTATATAAGTCTAAAACATTCGGTTAAATGAAAATGAGGAAATAAATAATTTTCCCTGTGTTTCTAGTGTTAAACTCCAGGTGGCGCTGCCTGCTCGAGGACGGCGGTAAAAGAAAAAAACACTCCCACCTATACGTTTCGTGTATGACGTAACCTTTATCGGGTGAGTGATAGCCAATGTCCAAACGGGAACATTTTTAGTACCGTGTATCTAAAAACGGTTACAATGATTTAATCGGCATTCCCATTGGTCGGACGAATGGGAGGAATAATTAGAAACTGCCGTGATTTATTAAAAGGCGTAATGTCAACCGCGTGCTTAATGGCGAGTCCTTACTCTCAACAATTGCGATTTAGGCCCGAAGGCCTCTGATTATTTTTAAATAAGTTTAAGTCTAAACAATTTGCATCCATCCTTTAATTATTTTTAAATTTCTACTTTAAAAAAAATTTATTTTTAAAAGGGCGGAATTAATCTCCAACGCGAAATGACACAGGAAAGTTTCGTTAGTTTCACGCACTTCTCACGAAATTTATTGTATTTAGTGTTGAATAATATGAAAATAAATAAAAATGATTAACAAGTTATGAACGATTTTAAGGTCTTAATCATAATTAAAGCCGAGAATTAACTGAATAAATCTCCATTATTTGAATTAATTTACAAACATTATGCACTGTATGTAGGCTAATACCACATGAAATAATTAAAATTTCTGCCATTTAAATAAAATTAAAAATCTGTTGAGTAATTTACAAATAAATTGTAAATTTCCGAGTTATTAAATACAAATTCGTATGAACTTTTAAAGAGATTTGTGTGAATCGAAGTGCATTAAATTAACACGCGCATAACTTTGTTTAATATTATGTAAATTATATCGAAAATTATATTTTAAACCAAGAAATTCATTGATTGATTTTAAGAATGATTTAAATGTTTAAAACATTAAAAATAGCATGCAAAATCAGGTTAGTTTCTTTGACGAAATTAATGAATTTCAAATTTTTACTTGATCTCTTGCAAAGATCCATCTTGAAAATCCCTCTGAAGACATTAATATTCATGTTTTGCTCGCTTCGCATGTGTCAAAATTTAAGTTTCACTTTAGAAATTTATATATCGTTCATTCAAAGAATATAACGGTTTGATACATGCATACAGAGCTTATTTTATCATACACGCTTCAAAAAAAATTCTGGACTTCAAGAGGAAATTAGTGCATGTAACCGCTTTTAAGTTCGGAACTGTTCCATGCAAAATATTAATTTAAATGAAAATTATCGGTCCAGTCGACTATTCACTACTTTTCAAATGTTTTCCCGATTCAGCAGCACCAGCTGAAAGCCGCCGATCTTATTTTAGCCACTTTGGGGTCGACTTTCTCGGGAGCTCCGTCCCGCCCCAGACTAAATAGCTGCTTCTAGTTCACTCGGTGAAAGTACATTTCAAAAGAGAAAGCTCTCTGTGGTTACCGCTTACTGTTCTAATCCGAAATTTTCTTGGTTTTTTGTTATTGCATCTATATTTTTTCATTGTGGATTATCACTTCGAGAATTGGATAACTTATTTTTTATTTCTGGGATCCGGAAAAGTCGTTTCTTCAGTTGTTAAAACGGAGATTTGGAATGAAAGCAAAGGGTTGGCCTACGTTTGCCGCTTCTTACGAGCGTCATTGTGTGTGGCATGTGCGAGGAAAATTAATACGTGGCAGAAGTGGAGCGAAAGAAAGTTGGTCTCTCTCTTCGGCCGAGGGAAAAGACTCTTGGCGCCGAAAGTTGCCATCACGCGAGTGTGTCATCGATCGCTACTGATCGATTCTCGGAAAATGTTGGAAAAACTGCGGGGATACCCGGCCGACAACCGCATGCAAATGGGAGGAAGGAGTTTCTTTCCGTTTTCTACTTGCGAAATGGCTTCCTCCGTTCCGGACGAGAGAAGGAAAAAAAATCAAAGTTGGCATCCACGAAATCAACACGTAGCGCCTTTGGCCCGAGGAGCGGAGTCGGCGGCGGGCCACCGTATGACCGAGAGAGACAGCGCATGCTAAGTAGTTCCGCAAGATGGCCCTTCCGTCTCCACACGTTGGCGTTTGCTCCAATGCCAGCCAATCACCGAATTTGATTGGTCGGAGGTAGACGGGACGCTCACTACAACGAGAGACGTCACGTGACCTCGCAGACAAATCAGTGCCGGATTGAAGATGAGAATCCACGACCAAGCACGGGAAGAAGATGATGGAACCGGGAAAGACCACCAGACAGTGTGCTGTCACGTCGCTAATGGATCGAGAGACGACGTAAGAGCCAAAGAAGCCTCCATGGCTACAGGTGAAACTTTTTCCTTAAAAAAAGAAAAAAAAAGAGTATTTCTTTCGTATACCGGAAGGGTAAGCAGGGCCGAACGGAGCCGGCGCCGGCTCCTCTATTTGTTTACCTGTAGACCAGCTGCCCTACGACCCCGCTGGTGTTATGGCACAACTGCGGTCTTACCCGTCGTCCGCCGCCTCCCTCCTTCCTTTAGGGCTTTGGACCCTGCGGGGGACGGTCCCACCTCCCCTACACCCCCGAACTCGGGCGGGGAGTAGGTGCGAGGGAGGGAAGAAGTTCAGACAAAGAGATGCTGTCACGTTGTCCGCATCGTCTCGGCCAGTTTGGACGGTCCCGAAGCGATATCGAGGCCACTAACCCCGGCCGCGGTGGCCTTTCCGCATCTTCCGGTGGTGGAACGAGAGTGTCGCCGTCCACGTGCGATTGCACGGCGTTTATCGACAGCTAGGCCTGGTGGCGGAGTTGGCAGACCGAGGAGCCGCTACCGGCAGCTGCCTGCGAGCCGAATTATGGCCAGCGTAGGACTTAGCACGCGTTGCCACTACTGAGAAGAAATCGCGAGGAAAAGCGGTCATCCAGGGTTACGGCAGGCCGGACGTTTAATAACTCTAGCTGGAATGGAGGAGAGACGACGGCAATACGGAACATGGCCGACCACAGCAGCAACAATGGCGAGGACGTGGCAGGTAAATAGCGTATAGACGCTAAGTTGCCTTAAATGTAGTGTCGGACGATGGGTCCTTCTTTAGGTTTCCAGGTATGTTTTTAACTTTTGACTAAGTAGCTACGTCCTTGTATCCACCCCCGCCGGCAATCGAACGGTCCCGATCGAATCTCAACATGGCGGTTTGTGTTGTCAATCAGAAAGCGATCCGTCAGGTCAGTCTGCCCGTCCATCGTTCGGACTCCCAATTAATATACAATGGTACCTCTTCCACGCGGTTAGTCTATCTACCGGCACTTAAAAACCGGAAGCGATTTTTTTCGGTTTCCATTCGGGTACCGAAATGTTTCCGCTGTCGATTTTTGAATACAATGACTATTTCCGGTAGACTTTATACCGTAGGAGTTCCCTTCGATGGTCAGCCGGTGGTTAGAAAGGAGGAAGAGACGCTTAATGCCAATGACTGAATGGTCTTCTCGGAAATCTGTTACTACGAGTTAATGGCGAGTTAATTGGTAGTAAGACCGCTCGGGGCGACAAACCTGACCCTAGGGGCGCATCTTACACCACAGCTAGTTAGACTTATTTGCCTCCGTCTTGGCTGTGGAGCGGATACTTCGTCCGGGTCCATTTATACCGGTTAGGCTCAATTACGTAAGCTGTCCTCCTTATTAGTGGTATTGTGGCTTTTTCGACATTTGCTTTTTTGCCTTTCTGGGATTCGGGCGCCATCGTCTTCTCCCTCCTCCCGACATCCCGCTGAATATCCATCGTTTCTATCTAAATCCTGTTTGTAGGTCTCGTTAAAACCATAATTTCGCTTTGGCCTAGAGATCCCCGAACCGTTCAAATGCTAATCGGGATATAAAAGCGCGCTTCTGATATGACGATGCTCACATTTATTAGCTGTTTAGTTTGAGGATGACGGTGTAAATCGAGAGAAGCGGCTTCCCCTTCAAAACATTCATCCCCAAAGTCGGTGCGACCAGTCATTCGACCGGCTTCTCTCTCGTGTTATTTGACCTCCCTCTCTCCCTTTTAAAATTTTAAAGTGGGCGAGCGAGGGGAGTAAACTGTCCAATGAGGGTGATTAAAGGGCGATCAATGATTTGGTCTCGGCCGTAGATGTTCTCTCTCGTAATGCTAATTCGATCGGCACGTGTATTTGGTTAGCATTGGTCGCTCTCTTGACATAAATTAGAATTTTAATGTTCTTCGGCGATTGCTATCTTGCAATCCTACGAAAACTATTCTTTATATTCGAGGAATTTCACTCGATTCAATTTCTGATACATTTTCAATTTCTAAATTGAAAATCTCTTCCTATCGCAGGTCCCATTTTGAAATAAAACCGTAAAGCTGTTGCCTGTCACAATAGAATTCCAATAACGGTCTGCGGGAGTTAAGTCCTTCCGCCAACGCTGTGGACTTCAATTGTTAAAATTTTTATGTTCTTCTTGAACATTTATCTTTTCTGCAGCAGTAAGAAATTTTTTATCCCCGAATTATGTCCAGTACAGATGTGGCCCTCTCGTTACCAGCGGGCCAAACAATTAGGTTCGATGGTCCTTGTTCGCATCTGTTTAACCTTGAAGATATAGGACCAGCCGGCAAGAATACTGACATTCCTAGGCACGTCCTATCTTTGGGCTGGGGACCCCTCCAACTCCCAACTTCCTGTTATCTGAGCCCCCTAATTTATTTCCTTACGTCCCCTTCTCTCTCTCTTTCTCTCTCCCCTTCTTCTAATGTGCACAAGAAGACCGTTACGTTCGAGGTAAGAAAAAGGTTCGGTGCTGAAAACAGGTGTAAGAAGCCAGAGAACGATCGCATTCGGCTTCTCGTTTTCTGGGGACGTGCTCGAAAGATCGTTCACATTTACTTCTTTGGGGGTGTGGGTGGAGAGAACGAGAAGAGAGGGTGACGCAGAGTGCAAATTTTGGAAATGTTAGAGCGCATTTTCCTAAGTTGGAGACCTGGAGTGAATTTTCCATCCAGTATTGGGCACGGATATTTGTATGCTTTTCTTATCCCTCCCTGCTCATCCACCGTTCCCCTCCCGCGCGTGGCGAGTTGACCAGGTCAGTTGCCTGACCGGGTGGTGACTCACTGGCTTTCTTCTCCAACCTCCCCCATTGCAGCATTGTCCACTCCGCTTGTATAATTATTGTCCAACTGTCCACGTTGGCCACCCGCGTTTTATAAATTGTAAAGAATCGCGTATAAATTGTAAGCATTTCTTTTATTCTTCCCGAGACTGCAGTCAACCGTAATCTACTGTTCCTAAAGATTTTTACACGAAAATTCTCATTCTAATCTATATTATGCAATCTTTATTTCCTTTTCTATTTAGTTTTCTTCATTATATCATTCCCGAAAAATCGGATCGCGTTAAAATGCCATTAATGTAATCGAGTCCTGCGCAGCGAGCAGATGCTGCGCATATTTTTGTGTGGTCAACGTGGAGTCACCTCCAAGCAGAAGGCCTGGTCGACCCATGAATCACACATGACTCAACCGCAAATTCTACTGGTTCACATCTAAGATTCTCTTTGACAATATCTAAAACGACCTCAAACTAAATTATCTCTTTTTATAATAACTGAAAAACATTGTTTATTGCTTTGATTCTTATTATATTGTCTTTTTTTTCGTAGGGGGGTCGTTGGGCTCACGCAGAAGGGGTAAATGCAAGTGGTTCAACGTAGCTAAAGGCTGGGGCTTCATCACACCCTACGACGGAGGACCGGATGTATTCGTACACCAAGTAAGTGAAGAACATCCCTTGTTATTTACTGTATTTAAATATATCCGCGAAAACGTTCTTTTATAAACACCATAATATCTTCTCGCTTTGGCTTCTGTGTTTACAGAACGGACATTTTACGATTCGGGAGGAGAGAAAATAATATAATCACTTTTCTGTCTATTAAACTTACTTAGTCTTATATTTAACACCATAAAATATTAGGAAAATTAGATGATTAACGTCGCCTGACTTTATTTCGAACGAATTTTGTTAATTTACTCTGCGAAGATATGTCAGTTCTGTCTCATTGCAGTAGCTTTTCCATAAATTTAACCAGGCGAAATGTTGCCCGAAAATTTTGCTACAGTCACGATATGAATGTCAATTAACCTTCTTGTGTAGGATAATTTATCGTATGTAAGATGTACAGTACATGTACAGTATAGAGATTGTATATACTGAATAAGATGAATTTGTTAGTGAAAAATTGAATTCTAATCAGGAGGCTGCAGATGTTAGCTACAGTTTTTAGCAAAACATGGATATAATTTTAGTTTAGATAATTCGTTTTTGAAATTTAATCGTTGGTCTATATATTAGATACTTCGAGAAAAAGAGACGAATTGACTTCTATAGATTATGTAAAAATTTCAAGACATGTTTTACGTAGGCGAAGCGATTATCGATTATCATTATAATCATCCTTACAGATAGTCTAACACAACATCTCTAAATGTAAGTAACCTGATCGAAAAAACGGAGCTGCTGAATAGGTAAAAATCTACCTATTTTACATCCTCAAGTTAAGGCACTTTTCTTTGTCCAATAATGTTTCGGCTTCAATACCTGCCTTGTGGATCAAATCCCTAAATTCTTCCTGTTTCGGTCGTATTTCTTTGGCTCGACCCTCTCCAGACCTACCTTATTGTAAACAGAATGGTTGGCTGAATTCCAAGAAGAAGAAATCAGTTCCTTATACACCCTGATGTTTAAAAAAATACAACTTTCTTTTTTTAAGAGAAATTAAGCGTTGACGTCACGTGGAGCATATTTCAGATATTTCTGGCTAATCCAAAATTCAATTTCATGCACGACATTAACAATTACTTTCGGATAGAGATAAAAAATTTTTTAACTTGACTCGAGGTGAAAAAAGGGGTGCAAACTGTAAACGAAAGAGTAAAAAGAAGGAAGGGAGGGGAAGAAAAAGCAAATGGGGAAATTGTTCGGAGGGTCTACAAACTCTCTCGGTACCACGGGAGTGACAATTGCTATACACAGAACCGTCTGCCGAAAATACTCGGGGTAGATGGTATTTTTATGTGGGCGTTTCTAGAAAAGATTTTCTTTCTTCTGTCTCGGTCGCCTCTGTCATACAAAACACAGGTGTTGTCCATCCTGAGAGGATAGGACGCCATTGGAGAGGAGGCAGTCGGCCATCTTGAATGCTGTCGACTCGACAACCGTTTCTATGACAACTGGACTCGAGTCGTTTTTGTCCTCCCTATAAAAATTAAGTCGATGAGCGGGGAGGGCATCTTTATTTTGTTCTCTTGGCCGCGGTTGGAAGGATTTTGATGAAAAAAGAAAATTAATTGGCACGTTTAAATAAGCATAATCGTGTAATAATAATATGTGGGATACGGGATACATAAACATATCGAACGACGGGAGCGATGCATTTCTTCAAAATCAACTGCATCCTCATCGAGGTTAAACAGTGATCGGGGTCAATACTAACGTCTATCTCTTTGACCATCCGAATGCCTCATCGTACCTGTTGAAAGAAATTTCCAATCTGTTGACAATTTCCTCTAAGAGGAACTAGAATAGGCGAAACTCTTTCGCTTAACTACGAATAAAAATCTTAATGCCAACCATCTAAAATGAAAATATAAGTTAATCGTAATCATTGATTCAAATGGTATATATTTTTTTAGTATATATAGTTTTAAATAACATTAAAGGCGCATAAATTCACGAATATATATATACTGTATTATATATTTAATATAAAAAGGAGACAAAATGAAGGCAAATTAAATTCAAGGCCACTAATATTTAATCTTCAACAGAATAGCAATCGAATATATCAATAAGTGTTATAAACAACAACAATCAATTATAATATTGATTAGATAATTTTTTATATTGCGACTGTTAGCAATCAAAATGGCTTATTATACAATACTGTATAAGTTGCTGTTTATGTAACGCATCCGGTTGTAATTTATTGTTTTATTTATTTTATTATATATATATATATTTGCTTCATCCATCGCAAAATATTTAATATGAAATTACGGAATTCTTTCAATTCCTGCGAAAAAAAAAAAAAAAGAATTTTCTCAAGTATGAAGCTTTCTTTTCTCACGCAAATTTCTCGCTAAATATTTTAAATGTTAGTAAAAGATGACGATATTGATGAGCTAATTCGTACTAGTCAATATTAAATATTATCAAAATTAATATTAATAAAGGAATAAAAATTGTTTTATTATAAGATTTAATCGTATTAATACCGATTTTATATGAAAATTAATTAGAAATAGTCAAGACTTCGCACAAAATAGCAATATTAGCAGTTAAATTTGTAATTTTCTCGATATGATGATGTCCTTTTTGGCCGGAGTCAAATGAAATTTGTGTAATCTCCACCATTTTATTACAGAATAAGGAATAAGAACTGAACAATGATAAATGCGAATGTCATTTTTGCGCTTCTAGCAAAGGTTAGATATCAAAATAAGGCAAGGGAAAAAAGAAAGCTAGAGGAAACGCTATTGACTGATGCTCTAATAATAGAAATGATATTCTATCGGAGAGACTGGCAAGAAAATATTGATTGCAACCGGAGATTTTGCTCCTTAGTGAAAGTCTATGAATAGACTGGAAGGCTCATCCTTGGGATTTACCGAGGAAAATTGTAAAACATATGTTTTGTTAGTATAGACCCAATCCCGGACCATTTCGGGAAACCTGGACATTCTCGTGGCAGAAATTTATGATGCCAACACTCATTAGTCCAGCTAAACCGATATTTTCCGGTTTATTTTCGAACTTTTCTTACGATCTTCTACTTCTTCCTGTATTTTCCCACTCGTTCCGCTATCTTAAAAGATTTCCCCTCTTCCCTTCGGCTTGTCCTTCTTTCTTAAAACCGGCTTCTTTCCGGGTGGCAATTGTCCTGCAAGGTAGAACAGCGGTGGGCACACACGTGCCTTTTACCGACGTAACAGGTAGCTAGACTTCGATGACGTCACCAGTGACGTAGCGTGCCACTTCTCGCATGCCTGATGCCTGCTCCAGAGACCTCCGCCCGGGCTATTAATAAACAGCGGTCGTCTGCGCTCATTCTTGTGTCTGCGACCGAAATTCCTCTCTCGGCTTTTTCCCCCCTTCGTTTTTCTTATTTTCTCTCATACTCGAGCCCGGGGGAAGCCCGGAAGGTTCTCGCTCTCTCTCCGTCTGCAGGAGAACGAATTTTTCTCTAGGGAAGCGCGAGAGCATTGCCTTCATCCGTCCCGTCCGCGCCCAATAAACCAATGCACATAACTTCCCATAAATTGTTCTTGCGCATCTTCGTCGACTTAATCGTTCCAGAAAATGCCCGAGCAAAACAGCGGAGCTTTCTGTCATTTTTAGTCACAAAAAACCCAGGCACGTCGCTACCAAAATTGTGAGTCGTCGCTCTATTTCTGGTCTTGACAATGTTTCTACTGTTGTATCGTGTTTATGTCTCTGGTCTCTAACCCGACACAATAGATCCCCGACTGCATCCTATTGTCTCTCTTCGGTTCCCAGAATAAACTCTAGAGAGATACACCGTGACATAAGTTACAACCATTTATTTTTTTCCCCTACCCGCCAATGTCCACTCGTTATTTGCATGTTGGCGAAAATATCACTTTCGAGCATTTTCCTTTCTTCGGTAAAGAGAAGATTGCCAAAGGATATCCTCCGTTGGATAATCAGCGAATCGTTTCATAAACATGCAGTTTTTTTTAGATTTTTTTTTTTAAATTGCCAGCTAGTTACTTGGTTTTCCACTTCCTGTTTATTTCAAGGATCGACGGGGTGACTCAAAGAATGAATCACAAAATCAGAGAGCGATTCAAAATTTGCAAAAAGAAAAATCTGCATTATTTCTCGCGAAACTGTAAAAATTACATAGCATAAATTTCGAAATTAACTGCAAACTTCAAACTTCGTATCTATCTATCAATCTATCTATATGTATATATATTTCAATCAACAATTGAATTTATTCTACAAAATCCAATAAACCGTAACTTAGATTGGATATTGGAGATGACACGTTGGGGAAGGGAAAAAGATGCAGTACATCATTGACAGGTTCTAAAATGACAGAGACAAATAGGTCCAGATGTTTATTAACGTGTCAAACTAATGGAAATATTCCTAAATTTAACTCTTAACGAATAATAATAATATAATAGCCTTGATATCAATGCATAAGACTCATTTGATTTTTATAAATGTCAAAGGAATGTTAGTAAACGACGGCACTTTTTTGATCCTTTTTTTTGTTTGTTTTTTTAAGATAAAAATGAGGTCTGGGTGCCATACCTAAGGCTGAGATCTTTCGTCTTCATTTCCTCGTCGCTAGCGACATCTGGCGACGACAAAACGGAATTCTAATCCCAATTCATTAACATATTCAAATTTATAAAAAATAATGATTTAAAAATTATGTGTTAATTGTTTTATATTATTATTTATATAATGAAAATAAACAGAAGTAGAACGTCCTCGGTTATTTGTGATATAAGAATTTGAAGATTAATTTTGACAGTTTACTAAACATTAAGGGAGCAATTCTGACGGTTGTAAACACGTTACTTTCCTTATTTATAAACAAAAATAACGATAAGAAACCGAAGAAAACGCTCTCCGTTTGCGATAAACTATCTCTTATCTGATTAAGATTTTGGAAGATGTAACATAATAATAAAATATTTGAGTGTAAGCTTTGTGGTTAAATAACTTTAACGATA